CACACCCCAATTAGAGTTCTAGTTTCTTCCCTGCATGTATGTTGTCTACAGTCATCGTGACAAATTATGCAGGTGTTGTGGCCACAAACGAAACATCTAATTATAGAATTCTCGTCAATATCCTATTCTTTATTCGACCCCCTTACAAGGTTTCATTTTGGTCTGTCTACTTTTTACCTAATTCCCTAAAGTTAACTTCATTCACTGAATATATAACTGCGAAAATAACTGTTCTGTTTCAAATGCGTTTTTAATTTTTATAGCCCATTTTTAAAACTTGATGACTCGTATTCAATTCAGCGCCCCCCAAAATCAACAGCTAGGGGGCCCTGGCCCCCCTGGCCCCCCCTTCCACCACGCCACTGCTAGTGTCTTTTGATGTGAAATCACTGTTCACCAGTATTCCACTTAATCTGGCACTTACTTGTACAAAAACCCTCATTACAAACACCACGGACGTACTGCCATTACCGACAGAAGACATTATGGAGTTACTGGAGCTCTGCCTCACCTCGACTTACTTCCAATACAAAGGAACACACTACAAACAATTACATGGGACGGCAATGGGCTCGACGGTTTCCGTTGTAGTTGCTGAAATTGTAATGCAATCTATAGAGGAACGGGCGCTCACGACTACAAACATGCACTACCATTTTGGTTTCGCTACGTAGATGACACAATCACAGCACTACATGCAGACGACATTAATGACTTTCATACTCACATCAACAAACAGAACAGCCACATACAATTTACCAAAGATATCGAAGAAAACGGAACTCTTCCTTTTCTCGACTCTTTGGTAAAACATGACAATCAAAAACTACAAACAACAGTTTATCGCAAGCCAACACATACTGGCCGACTACTAGACCAATCATCTTACAACCCTACATCACACAAAGCCACCACAATCCGAACAATAACAAGACGTGCACAAATCATATGTGATTCACTGGACGCTCTACAAAACGAAAACAATTATCTCAAACGTGTTTTTGACAAAAACAACTATAACTCTGACTTTATCAAACGCAACACTTACAAACCCAACGAACCCAACGAAACGAACAACTCAGTGACAACAGCAACGATACCTTACATCAAAGGTACGTCTGAGACTATCTCGCGTATCTTACGACCATACAACATACGTGTCGCACATAAACCAATCACAAAGTTACGACAAGTACTAACGAACATAAAGGACAAAGAACAACCCAACGAACGACAAGGTGCAGTTTACAAAATAAACTGCTCCGACTGCCACGCCTCCTATATTGGGGAAACTGGCAGGAACTTAAACATAAGACTTACTGAGCACAAACGAGCTACTAAGAAACAAGACAAAACTGATCACATTGCCGAACATCACTGAATCACAAAGCACAACATTGACTGGGATTCGGCAAATGCATCACTTACAGTACTGACTATAGACAACGGCTTACATTAGAAAGTTGGTATACCAACTTGGAACAAACCCCCCGAACAGATCACAGCAATTACCTGCACCTTACAAACGACTTATTCACAATACAAACAAACGATCAACTAAAAACACTACACTTCAAACTAATTCACAATGACAATACACATTTGACACCCACACATTACAACTAAAAACGTCACACCTAAATCACACATCACAACGAAAAATAAAATATTTCACTTCACACTAATCCACAATGACAATACACATTTCCTGTACACACAATACAATGACGTAAGAACCAGATAACAAATACGGCTAACCTGACGTTTACTCCTCATTTGACTCTGAAGATGACTACCGCTAAGGTTGTCGAAACGTCAGTCAACAACAACAAAAACAGTCCTTCTCAGGACTTTATTAACCTGGACGATCATCATTTACAAACATGTAACGATACTATCGGGTTCAAACCATTTACTTTATTCATGTAATTATATGATTAAAGGCATGTTGGTTACATTTTGTTTGTATTTGCTAATACAATGCTACTAGTGATATATAGCACACCTTGCATATACTTACAGAAGATAATAGTCTAGTGAAATGCCTAATAAACATTAATGGTATTAAGATGTCCCTAATTGCAAATTTTCACTCTGGTAATTTTTGTTTTATCTTTGGCAGAAAAAAATTTTGAGTTTTTTCTCAAAGGTGAATTTGCTGGCACTGATGTGGAGATGGGTAAAGGGTTACAATAAACTTGCATGGTTTGAAGTCTGAGCTTTTCTATATCTATGAACTGTCACTTGTAGTACCAAATTTCTAACTTAACTCATTACATAGAGGTTTGAATGGGGGTCTCTGGAGGGGTCTATGTCTGATAACTTTGTAGAAATTTTTAAAGACTATATCTGTTTTTGAATAGCATAATTGTAAAATTAATTTTACGTTCCTAGACATGCTAATGAGCCATATATTTGGCATGATAATGAGCCTAAATATTTGGCAAAACATTCAAGTATTGTTCACTTCATTATTATTTTTTAAAACAACGTAAGCAAAATGTGTCGTTTTTACGCAAAAACGATGCCCACAAAATACATTTTGTATTGCTCTAAAACGCTGAAAACGGCATTTTCAATGCTCTGAAATTCGAAAATTTTCAGCGGAGAATGCCTCAGACTCCCCCAGGTGCGGAGTGCCTCCGACGTTTTATGACTGATGTTTGAAAAATCCTAGATCCGCCCCTGTATATATGTTGCGTGCGCTAAATCAAAATAGACGAATTGATCAAATACTTCTCTACGCAACAAGGAGACAAAAAAAATTCGTTCAGGGCATTCAGAAAATCTTGCCCCATATTATTTGTACATTTAAATTTGATATTTTTACCACTGGAGGCCCTTTTGATATTATTTAAATTACTTAGTGCGCATGCACTCAATTTGCAAATATCTTGGTCAGTGAGCTATTTAGTTTATATACTGTCTGAGCTAGCCAGCTCGCCTCAATATAATAAGGCTCTAAGTATAATATTACCAAATTGTACCCAAACTCAGCTAATTTAAGCCTTTCATTGCTTTGTATCGTTAAAACACGAAGTACATTAAATAACGAAGCAAAGTAGTTGCTTTTTGTAACTGAGCAACTCTGTGGGCTTTATTCTTATTCATTTATTCCTCTGTTTCAATTGTATGGCATGTACAAAGTAAGAGCAAAAGTTATATGCATGCAATTATGATTATGAACGAGTCAAATATCTAAACATGAAGGTAATACATTTAATGATAAATTATAGTCCCATAACAATGCTACTACTCCTTATTAGACGTGTGTAAACAGCTTATCAAAATTATGTGGTAGTCATTGCCTCATTCCATGTCAATAATCTTGCTGGTACTTGGTAGTGTTAGTAGATAATTTATTGTGAATATCCCACCTAATTCAGATATCATTCTCTTTATAAACTGTTCTTTCCCATTTAATACAATGCTCCTGTAGCCTATAGTTAGCAGTTAGCTCATTTTAATGTATAATTTTTAATATACAATGTTTGATTTTGAATTACCTGTATATTTTGTACTCATTTGCATTTGTGAAGGACAAATGTATATAAATGTGCATCTTTAGTAACTGTCGAGCTACACATATATGTAGCACATTATACTGAATATTACTCAAATAAGTTATATTAATGCATGACTATGCAGGTAATCACTTTGAAATGATTTTCTAGTTTTGCCAATGCCACTGATTGTATGAATGTAAATACCAATAGTTATATGAATGGCAATACCAATGACTATATGAATGACTGTGACAATACCAAAGACAGAATGAATGTCAATACCAATGAATACACTAATGTTATTTATATGTTTGAAAATTGGTGACTTCATAGCTCAGTTGGTCAGAGCACTGCACCGGCACCGCAGAGGTCATGGGTTCGAATCCCGTTGAGTCACCTGAATTTTTCAGGTTCTTGAGACAATTGCTTAAATTGTCCAGCAAAGTGCGAAGATCATATCTTCATTTAATTTCAAACACCGCACTGCATAAAACAATCTCTCATATTACTAATGCTATTATAAATGCAAACACCAATGCATGAATTTACAAATGCCAATATCGATGACAGTATGAATCTCAATATAAATAACTATAATATGTCAATGCCAATTGCTTTATACATTGTAAATGTAAATACCAATGAACAGCTGTACGAATTCCTGTACTATGTTTATATGAATGTCAATGCTAATCACCAAAAATTATGTGAATGTTACCGATGACTATATGAATGCCAATATCAATCACCATAAATGTCAATACCGATGTCTGAATGAATTTAATACCAATGACTGTATAAATGTCAATGGAAGTTATTACGTGAATGCCAAATTGCTTTATATTCAATCCAATGGCTTGAGACACTGTTATGTAAAATTTAAATGATACACCATGATGATGGGGCAATGCAGAGTTGCAGCTAAATTTAATCATTTTTGTAAGGAGGGCGTTAGTTTTGCTTGATATTATCCGTAGATAACAGTTTGTTTCATAGGAACTTAATACTGTACAACATGTGTATAAATAAAAATCTCCCCCAGATATTCTCTGGGCTACCCCACGTGACACATTATAGCGGTATACTGTATTTCATAACAAAGCTAGACTTATTAATACATCTTGCAGATATATGTACTGTAACAGATTTATACCCTAGTTTTTTTAGTGCAGTTTATTGAAAAGCAAGCATGTTAGATACTCACTGAGTGGTCGTCGTCAAAGTAATCTAATGTTGTTATGTCATGTCCCATAACAACCTAAAGTCAAATGAAAGATCATTTTTACTAACTATTTTGTAATGTTGAAAGCTTCGAGTAAAATTATGCATAAGAGAGACCTCAAAGTCATTAATTTTTTTTGTTTTACTGCTTGATTGTATTTTATTATGAAGTGCTGTTGCAGAAGAAGCTTTTTTATAAAATTTCAACTATCAACAAGGAAATGATCTTTTTCTTTAAGACATGTCTCATGTGCCTTTATCCTTTACTTTTAGACACGACAGCCAACGTGAACTGGTTCAAGATCAAGAATTCCAAATATCAATTGTGCCTAACGCTTCGTACTTTTCACTTTTTTGGGACAGTCATAACTAAATTGACACTAGCTACATGCTTGCCAAACGCATCAAGGCAGTTGTGGCAGTTTACGGGTAACAAAAATCTCCGCCTGAAATACAATAATAAGTGCCTCACCTTCGATGGACATCTCAAGTTAACGTTGCGTCCGTGTTCTTTTGTTAATTTGCCTCAACAGTGGTCATGTTCTCAAAGGAGATTGCTCTTGGGAAGAGCTTTACAATATGTAGTGCCTTATCCATACAGTGGTATGCCATTTGGATTCATGATACTTATGACACGCTCGTGTTCATCAAAAAACAAAGCTTGTCAGTGGACACAGTCCACAACAAATTTACCTGTGTGCAGTAGCAGCAAGGGTAAGTCAGTGTTAGCAAGATACACCCTATTTAAGTCAATTTTCCTATCTTGATCCTCATGCAATGTATCTAGAGAAACTAATTCAACAAGTTTTTATTTATTACGTCTAAAATGTCTATTCCAGCGCACAAGCAGGGCTATCCATTTTGTTTTCCACCAATCGCAAGCATTGAAAAGATTTGTTTGTAAATTTGGCTCCAAGCGAAAATGATGCCACAAATTGCTTACCATAAGATTTTCATAAACAAACACATATGTCATTTAAGAGATAATCTCCAAAATATTTATAATATTTTACAAACTTCTAGTTTCTTCTATATTAAACCTTTCCCACATATTTTTCTTCCATTGCTTTTTGTTTAATCGATCCTTTGAAGTTGCTGGTTTAAACTATTTTCTAATGACGATAGCAAATTAGCTACATCCTGTGAATAATTTTCAACACAAAATTGAGTGGGTGAAACAAAGCTTTGAAAACTCGTGTCTGACATAGCATCGAGCGAAGCTAAGGCGCTTTTTAAACGTCAACCCTTGTATGTGCCAAATGAAGACAAAAGAATATTAGAGATGTTCTTCATTATCTTTTGCTTTAATATTGTCTTGATATTTATTGGGCTCGTGTAATGTTTGACGCTTGAAATCAACCAAAATCTTTTTGTGCCCTTCTTGAAATATACAAGTACACAAATTTGTCATCACTGGCATGAGTTTCGTTACCCTTAATCCGCCTCTGTACAAAAATTAAAATACATACTTAGTTAAGTATTAAATATTCATATATTCAGCTCTCCCCGACGGATTTCATTTTAAAATACGGTGGCTTTTAAATCAAACGTTTTAAGTTTGCCCCTAAATGACGAACTTCAAAACAAGCATTAACGACACCACATTATTCCCTTTACATTCTGAGCATTTTCACCTACATTTTTTGAAGGAAACAGTTGACAAAGAATAAAATCTATTTGTAACAGTAATCCGACATCGATACTTGTCAACAGGTGCACCTCAAAACAAACTTGCACAGTTTCAATCAGCTCTTCACTGTAATCAGTGCTCAATCTATTTATGAGTCATCATGAATGATGGAGATACAACAATCCTACAAATTTTCATAATCTATATTTAAGGATGATCCTATTTTAAGAAAGAAAACCAACGCTTAACTTTTTCGTAAAAACATAAGCATCGACATGCCAAAATATAATATATCTTTAACAAAAACCCGTCAAATATTTGTCATTTATTGACTTAACATTTACTAAATACAAAAACAGGTACGAACTGCATACTTTTGGGTAGCCTGTAAAACATGACACGCAAAAGAGTTGAAAAAAAGTGGAGTTGTAATCTATTGCTACATGTTGGACACGAAAAAAAGCAAAATTTTTAAAGCAAGCGATTGCAATTTAATATAAAAGGACTTAATTATTTATTCTATATCATGTATCTCCTTGGTTGATACTTTTCTGAGACTTTGAAGTAATTGGTTAACAAGTTGTTTCATCTAGATACTCTAAATCCTGACAATAATAATAGAATTGTTATTATTTGTTGGTGGTTGCAAGAGGGTTTAACGTTATTGTTAATAAGTAGGATAATAATAAAGGTGGTGCGTAGGGTGTTATATGCACTGTCTTTTCTTGCCTAGCTTAACCTCGAAGACTAGATCTCATTCGATTTTTCAGCCTTAGCACTCAAGTATTTGCCGCTCAAAAATTCCATCTATTATGCTACGTGTACTTGTATGTATGCTTTGTAAACCATGCCTAGTTCTGTAGTTACGTTCCAATTACATTAATATTTCGGAAACATTAAATTCATTGATTGACAAATTTTTTATCCAGATGATTGAAGGTCGATTGCACGACAATGCAACTGTCTAGTTTTTCTTAACCAAATTTCTCGGAAAAATGAAATAATCCTGTTCCAGTTTTCCCCACACTCTTAAAATTTGGGGTGCAAAGCTAACACCTTTATTGGTGCTGATTTGATACCACGATGTTGGTAAAGGTAAAATACGGAAACAGAATAGCGGAACGGAATGGCGGAAGCGGAGTGGCAGAAGTGAATAAAGGGTAAAACGCAGTATAGAGGGTGAAACGCGCCAAATAGAACATAAAATACAGATTTGAGGGTAAATTGTTGAACAGATAGTAAAATAGTTTATTTACCATTGTTATGCTTTGTTCAGTTTTAGCTTATGAGCTCATAATATTTATCACAGTAAGTAACAGTTGCCAAAAATGCATTTCAGTATTGCATGGACGGACAGCCCAATATGCATACTGTTCAAAAATGATTCTGAGTAAAAGTGCTTTCATCTGTATCCTTGGTGATAATTGAATATATTATAAAAAGTCAGTCCAAGCTTGCTTTGCTATTTTTTGAGCCAGCAGTGTTGTTTGTTGGGTTTTTTTTTATGAAAATTTATACATTACGAGTATTCTTTGCATTGCAAACAATGTTTAATCTTTATAAGCTAAGTACCTCCAAGTATGTCTTGATCATATATTTGATGTGTACATTGTGTGAGTATTCGCTGTCATTTGAAATAATGTAAATTTACGTTAATAATATTTGCAATTTGTAAAAGACAAATGCAAAAGCGAAATGTATTCATTTGTTTTATATATGCCTTTCATTAAACCCATCAAACCGCACTGCGCGCGAAATAAACCAAGCAATAAAACGTTTTATGAAGACTATGCCTCCAACGATTCTAAGTCGATAGCAAATTACTAATGTGAGATCTTTAAATTTTGAATGAAATTATTGGACTGACTGCTGAAGCTTCACATGTATTTACAGTTGTATGCAAAAGTTAAAGCACCCCTGAATAAGCGTCAAAATTTTGCGTATTTTAGGCCAGATATTTAAGCAAACTGCGTGACATACACAATTATCATAGAAAGTAATGAAATTGTTAATTTACTCGACAAAAATATTTATTTCCTCGAAGAAGTGACACGCAGCATGCAAAGTTGTGTTTTTTGAGCACTGCAAAAGTTTAAACACCCTTGAGTGGTTGCGTGTTCTTCTATGATAAATTTTCAGTCATACTCCAATTGTACTATACTACTCACCGTTGTTCATCTGCTATTTTACGTGACTAGAAAAGCACCACCAGCCTCTATCTGTAAAGTTCTGTTCTTTTGGGGGAGAAATAGGTTTGCTGTAATTTGCAATTTCATGTTAAAGATGGCTCCTTCAAGACAGCTGTCTGATGGCTTAAAAACAGAATAAGTATATTCCATACAGCTGGAAAAGTTTACAAAAACTCTCCATAAGTTTGGGTATTCCAGTCTCAACTGCTCGAAACATTGTTACGAAGTGGAAAGAAAAAGTTAGTGTTAAAGCTAAGAACACGAGTGGCAGACGAAAGAAGTCGACAGAAAGACATTTAAGATCACTACTAAAGACAGTCACTGCCAAGGACCTCCAAGAACATCTGGCAGGAATGGAAATGCATCGTACTAAAGTTCAGCGTACTTTGCTAAAGAATGGACTGCATGGTCGTATCATGAGACGAAAGCCTTTTCTTCGTCCTCAACAAAAGACAAACATACTAAAGTATACGCAAAAAACATGTTAACAAGTCAGACGCTTTTTGGAACAATATACTATGGACGGACGAGACAAAAATTGAATTGTTTAGCACAATCATAAGGGCTACGCATGGCGAAATCATGATCCCAAGCATTGTTCAGATACAACTAAAGAATACTCCAGACGATAAAGATTTAGAGTGCAGAAGTGACCGCTCACAGACTACAGACTACAGACTTAATTCAATTTAAAATGTATGGAATAGCGTCAAGAGAGCAGTTCATGCAAGAAACCCAAAAAATCTAGCTGAGCTGAAGACATTCTGCATAGAGGAAAAGAGCAAAATTCTATATAAAAGAATCCCGAAGCTCCTGTCTAGTTATGTAAAATAATTTGAGGCCGTTGTATTTGCCAAAGGTGGAGTTACGAAATATTGACCCAGCAAGCTTTACATATTTTTAAGGGTGTCTAAGCTTCTACAGGTTTCAAAAAACAAAACTTTGCATACTGCACGTCTCTTCTTCGAGGAAATAAATATTTTTGTTGAGTAAATTAACAATTTCATTACTTTCTATGCTATTTGGTATGTCATTCAGCTTGCATGTGTATCTGAACTAAAATACGCAAAATTTTACGTTCCGTCAGGGCGTCCAAACTTTGCATACAACTGTATAATACCTATATTCCACTGTCATCTATGATACGGACAGAATTACATACACTCAAAAACGTTTTTTAACAGCTTGTAAAAGTTGGCTGATCATACGCACGAAATTAATTAGTATAAGTTGTAAATAAATATGGCCTTAAAAAAAGCAATTGCCATGGTAAATGAACTGCAACTAAAAAAACCGCGGAACCCCGATAAAAACCAAGAAAAAAACTAACCTGAGAAAACCAAGAAAAATGAAGATTTCTGAAAACTGGTGTTTTAAAATCCTAACAAAAAGTTCTGAAGAGAACTGTTGTAGAAATTTAAGACACTAGGCATTTCGGCTGACAACTCGTTTTGATGATGACCCGTTCAGTATGGGAGATTATTCCTCATCAAAAAAAGCAAATTTAAAAATGAACTGCTTCTGTCGACAAAGGACCGGATCATTAAGATTGATAATGACTGCTTCTATTGTTTTGAGAGAGAGGCAGACTTGCATTTGTGTAAAATTTGGCATCTGTGTATGTATCAGCGCACAGAGGTGAATCCAGGATTTTTTTTTCTTGTTAGTTAAAATTCCGGAACGCCGGAGGCGTTCGCTATCTAGGGGTACGGGGGCATAACACCCCAGGAAGATTTTGAGACACAGATGATAAGAATTGTAATCTCCTGCATTTTTGGAGTGGTCTTCAACCTATTTTTTTGTTGTGATCATAACTCGATAAAGATCACGTCTTTTAAAGTCACATTGAATGCACGCTGGATATATTATTACTTTGAAGAATAGGTTAAAGAGAAGTAACACAAGACCATCAAATTTTAGACGTTTTGCTTAAGACACACGTCATATCTTGAAAGACTAAAAATTTGTAGTAATTCTATGGCAAAAGTAGAATGTGATGAACAGACCTTAATTAAGCACTACATAAAAAATAAATTATATTATAAATATAAATTGAATAATGCTCACAGGTACATTCATGGCCAGTTATGATAAAACTGTCCACCGTAAGCCCACATTGGGAATTTTTCATGTTAGGTACCAAAAAGAGTAATGAGTTTCTCAAATTCAGAATTTATACTTTTAAAAAGTAACAGCAAATGCTTTATCTAAAAAGCAACTTAAAATTCATGGTCATACATGGAAATAGTTGCCTGAGGGACGCTGCTAGAGCATAATAAATGACATTTATAAATGTCATGGCTTTTTGATGACAGAAAGGATAAAAATCTTGGTGTCAAAATTAACTCTTTATTCCTGGTTACATTTAAAGAACCTGAATGAATAAGGCTCACACAAATAGAATGTAAAAATAATAGTTTACAATGAGGCCCAGTTATAATTGGTTTAGAAAGTTGTAGACTACAATTCCCTTGCCTTATTTCATACAAATAACAATGCACTTAATATGTGCTTGAATGATAAAAATGAAGTTAGTAAACATTCATATTAAAGTAAAATTGTTAACCAAGCAGAAATTTTGACTGCTGAAACTGTAGATTGATGTTAAATCTTTTGATATGTAACAACCTAAATCTATCCGATTAGGATTAAAAGTCAGGATAGTACATATATATGGTGCAGGATGTTACAGTGGGCAAATAATTGACACTACAAAATCTATCATCATTACAGTATACTACAGGTTTATCATGCAGTAAATTAGAAGAAGGCACATTACCGACTGATTCTATAGTCTCAAATTATACTCATAGCTATGATACAAGACATAGATATATAAACAAATTTTATGACTATCATGAAGTAAAATGAGACATGGGTTCCTACAGTGAAAATCAGCATTTTGCAAACAACTCATTTAAGGCTATTGATCTCGGAGTGGTAATGAGAGAGTTACTAAAGAAATAACAATGTAACAGGTTTAGGGGGTCATAAGTCATATAAAAGACATTAACTAGGTCAATTTATAAATTTTATATAGAGAACTCTTACACTTAAAGGTCACCTGAAATGCTTGATATAACTTTGCTTCATATGAAAGCTTAGCTAATGATTAGCCTATTCGCCAAATTTGAAAGTCCAATGTTTTATATTTTATGAGATATGGTCTTCTGAATTCATGACATTGACGATTTTCGAAGGCCGAATTCAAATAGCGCGAGCGAATTTGAATTACCCAAGCTGGGGTGAGTTTGACGTAATAGTTGCCATTGCATGTTTTTGCTCAGTGCAGCCAGTAGCAGTAAAAATTAAATTTCGCCAATTTTCTTTTTGTTGTTGCTGCTACTATTAATGCGTGTTTATTTCGATGTCTTCAACGGAGGAAGAAGTCGAATTTGACATCGAATATATTGCTACGGAGGTCCAGCCTTACATGTTTGAACCGCTAGCTAGTAGCAATAATGTTGAAACTGACGAAGATCTGTCTTCGTCGTCGTCAACGGACAGCTCATCTGACGAATATACTCACAGGATTGGAAATACAAACTGGTGTGTTGCTTTTTTTCATGATTAACATTTCAGATCGCGTCATAAAATTCTTTTCTTTATTTTAATGGCAGGTGTGAGTGTGGACACTGTGTGGCGATGACAACCGGCCGGGAAAGCATTTGTTGCCATGAGGAACCGAAGACAGACCCTAAAATTAATGGTGACCATTTATGCATCACAGAAGAACAAGAGTTTCACATGGTCTGCATCAACGAAACAGTCGTTAGAACAGCTATGGTTGTATTCGTTCACGATCACGGGGCAATACCAGACGCTCCAGAAACCGAGTCAGTTTCAGCTTTTTTGATATCTCCTCATATATCGACAATAATTTGCTTATGTTTGATTTTGTTTTGTTTCCCAGAACTTTGCGTTACACTGCCTATAGGCAATGGACAGCATGGATACATGGAAAGCTTGGCAAGAAATATCGACTTCCTATACCATCCTGTGCTGTTAAAGAAATAAGGAAAGCATTTCCTTCACCTTCTGGCATAGATAAAGGCTTTGAATATGCACAGCATTTATAAATACCTGTGAGTGTTAGACTTCAGTTTAGTTAAGATTGAATCGTGAAGTATGTGGTTGCACTGCTGTTACTTTATCAACTTTTTCAACTCTACTAGTCAGTGGATCTGGTATTTTTTGTTGTCTTTCTGTTGCAATTGCTTGGTTTAAACTGTAATTAGCATGTCTGCACCTTATCACTTCCTCCATTAGTTGTTTCACATAGTCTGTAAAACAGGGGGAGAAGAATTAAACTGAGAAGTGCAAGAAATGTACCATCAGTAGAACAATTATTTGGCTTTTGAGTGCTAAAACTTGTCCTTACCATAAGTAGTATCAATTTTAACACCTTTGATGACTCCACATGACTGTCTTGATTTGGGGTGAGACACTTTCCACATTAATTCCCTATTTTCTTTTGTACGCCTTTGTTCTTTACTTCCATTTTCATCGAAATGGAGAGCAGCAATCAGTAATCTAAAAATTTAATTTTACTTTTTAGTGTGCCACCTTGCAATCATTTTCAGTATGAAGACAACATTGTTTATTGTTTGTTTACCTAGCTTGCATTGCCTTGTAAAAGAAATGTGTATGCTTTGGTGCATATAGTATAACAACTCGATGAAAACCTTCAAGAGCTTATGTTTGTTTTTCATGGCTGAGCTTCCCAATATCTTTCATGAGATACCTGCTTTCAACAATCGATGCCAATTCAGTAAATGCTCTAGATCCTTGGAAAAAAGATAGAAAATTTTATGGTGCCCATTTATGTCATATGTTGACAAATAACACCACATTGTGGCATTGGCTGGCAATTGAAGTTTGTTGATAAAGAAAGTATCAATTACTGTAAATAACTATTATGTCTTATACCAGAGCATTTAGGATTAATTTGTACCTTTCTTTATCCATAAGCGAGGCTCAAGAGTACCATGCTCACATTTTGGAAATAATTCGCTATGACCATCATGAATGTTGCAAATGTGATTCATCAATGATAGCCATTTAGCCTTAAGTAGTTTCTCATCACCACCACTACTTGCAGCACACCAGTAGACATGGTTAGATATTGACTGTGCCCAATCAAGTAGCAATCTACATCCACTCTTCTTACTGGCTGCCATTACCTTTTTTTTGATACCTGTAGAAAAAAATAGACACTGTACATTGGTTAAAAAATTGTAATGCAAAACATAGCAATAATTGATCAAAATATCATGAAATTAAATGCAATTAGAAAAATTCTAAAACCTCTCAATCACTTGGTAATTTATGATTATAAAGATACTCTTTGATCAAATTAGGAAGTACTTTATTTTAAGACCCATTGCTGTACTTTGAGCAGCTTTTGGTAGCCTTAATTTTACCTTTTGCCACATGCCAAACATCAAAATAGTGCTTCACTCCTGGCTGTTGGGTTTTCATGTATTTTTTAACTTGGCAATGCCTGTCTGTGATAAGATGACTCACTTGAAGATTGTGTGACTGAATAAGTTTAAAAGATCTTTTCAGTCCTTCCAATTCCATTGCCCCTGAATTTGCAACTTCATTTGACTGTAATAGATATATTAATGTAAATAAAATCATACAGTGTTTGGGATATGTATGTCTGCAAGTATGCATGTATGTTGGTGTATATCACATGATTTTGTTACACACATTGTATTCATGTTGTATAAGTACATATTACACATTTCCTAAAATGTGTTTGCATACAATACTGTTTTGAATACAATACTATAAACTAATGAATTGAGCTAGTTACCTGAACTAATTGTGTGTCTAAAATTTTATTGCTTTCTAAATCCATGCAGCTGTATGAGCAATATTTTTCACAATAGCCTGGTGAATCACATCGTCCATCACCCCCAATAACAACCTGTTTTCCCTGACGCTCTGTCATCATAATAGTCTGGTGCTTTTTCCAAACATTCAAAACACTTGGAATAAGATATCCACTTTGTATATAGTTGTAGCACCTTTCAGTAATGAACTGTACATTTGCTTGTTGAAAATATTGCAGGATTTTGGATGGGCTGTTACCACTAAATAGAATACTGGCAGATAGCAAGAGATTACCCAATGGCATCTGACTATGAGTAGGTTGACTATTCCAATTATTAAGAAAGCCACATGAGCATTTAGCGATGATGTTCACCATGCTTCCAATGCTTCTGGTTGATATCTTGCAGTGACCACCACAGTGTCAACACTGAGAGAACAACTTTCTTAGACAGCTGTCAAAAACTATATATTTTTTTTGAGTAACATCATTTTCCCTATAACATAGAAAAATTACTTATCTTTTATATGAATGTTATCTTGCTCTGTAAAATACTTGAAATGAACTTATGTTTTGGGTTATCTTATTTCAAAATGATGCAGACTAACTTACTCGGCAATTGATGCTTCATCATCTGACGATTCAAATTCGCTGAAACTAAGATATTCATCTGCGGTACTGTTGTTTTCCGAAGTGCTTATTTCAGCATCTGATAGGAAATCATCATCATTGTCGTTTTCATCTACGGATAAACTACCTTCCGTTTGAGTGCTTCTTGCATTTGTCGTGATAATTTCGGTTTCTGTCCCTGTGCAACGGAATAACATAATTAAGGAAACACTTTTCAAAATGTTTATTTTCCGCTGAGTTCATGTAAAAAATTAACCTTGAGACGTCACTTGTGCATTCGTTTGAGTGCGTTTGCTTTTTGCTTCGACTGGGATTTTTTTATCAGATTGACACTTTACATGTCTGCGTTTCTACATCATCAAGCAACAGTTTAGGCTTTTGCACAAAACAAAACTGCATTGCATTCCCTTACCACTTTGTCAGTTTGTGTTCTATTGTCACTTATGTTACATTTATCTCTTGAGTCCAGTTGTCCACTCAAAAAAAACGAACATGTTTTGATGTATTTTCGTCCTCGTCAGGCTGCTCAATGTTTTCCACGGAGTTCTCAAGAGCTTCGTTTATTATCTGAATTGTATATACGTTTTTTTAAAGTAATGCACTATAATTTATATTAAAAACTGCTTGGCTACAAGACTTTACCTCTAATTTTCTGCGCTTTGCATACGCGTTTCTAGTTGCCTCCGGTTTCCGTTTATCACCAACTTTCGACCTCGAATAGTCGAAGATCGTTGGTATTGCGTCTTTCTTTAACCTTAACCTGGTTGGTCGCCATCCTAAAGATTTCAGGACTCCGGGGTTTTGGACAAAACAGCAGGCTTCAAAGTGTGCCGAACAGAGCTTTGACCTTTTCGAAGGATTCCAATCTTTCCTTTTCACCTTATCGACCCATGCTTGGCGTAAAGGATTTTAGCGGGAAACTGAAAACCCAACTTTTTCCGCCTTAGATTGGTTCTTAGAAGAACCGTTTTTGCAGTTAAATGCCACACAGTAAACCATCTTAAAATAGCCGATCAAAATCAAACTTTATTTATGAATTCATATTTGCCGCTTTCTCGCGCGAAATGTCAATGGCAACTATTACGTCACGCCGAGTACTTTCCGACGATAAACCGACGGAATATTTTTTACTTCTATTCAAAAAAAACACAAATTCACTCGTTGATATCTCTTAAAATAATCATGGGATTGTTTTCAAATTTTCTTTGAATAGTCTACGCAATATATAAATTTTATATGTCAAATAAACAGAAATATGAATTTTGCATTTCAGGTGACCTTGAAATGCAAAATTCATATTTCTGTTTATTTGACATATAAAATTTATATATTGCGTAAAACATGCAAATATTCCAAAATTATGAATATGAATTAAATGAGTTTTGATATTAAGCTGAACATATTATAATAATAACAAGGTCCAATGCTGCACAGTTGAGTATAGTGTATACTTTGTTCGCATTTCTTTAGTGAAAAGCACACAAAATTGTCAGCTTTTGTAAAGCCAACTGAATCGAAGCATTGATTATCATATTTTATTTGGATATAGTAATCAGTCCTGTCCATGAACACAGTCATGCGTCCTTTGTCTGCTTGTAGAATGAGGATGTTACTATCGTGTTTTAGTCGTTTGATGCTTGTTGCTCGTCCTTTGTCAAGTTGTTGTCACGTATAGAGGCCGATTGTAATTGGAAGCTACCCTACATCCGATCTTGTCTTTGGTGGTCCCTGACAAGTCTCTTTGATACGCTTGGATAGCCTCGACACTTAATACCATCGTCTCAGTCGGGATTCGTTTGGGTGTTATGGAATGTTTTAGTCCGTAAGACAGTAGTCGTTCAGTTTCTTCTAATGAGCGGGAATAAATATTCCTGACCATTAACGTCATGTTCATGTTTTGTACGTCTTTTAGGTTTTTGGAAATACATAACAATCAAAACGACGAACCACAGTTAATTGCAAACCAAAACACACTGATAGACTACTAGACCAATTATGGTACTAACCTACATCACACAAAGCCACCACAATTAAAACATTAACAAGACGTGCACAAATCATATGTTATTCACCGGACGCTCCACACAACGCAAACAACTATCTCAAACGTGTTTTTAACAAAAAAAAACATAACTCTGACTTCATCAAACGCAACACTTACAAACACAATGAACCCAACGAAACGAAGAACTCAACGACAACAGCAAGGATACCGTACATCAAAGATACGTCTTAGACTACTTCACGTATCTTACGACCATACAACATACGTGTCGCACATAAACCAATCACAACGTTACGACAAGTACAGAGTTTACAAAATAAATTGCTCCAACTGCCACGTCTCTTATATTGGGGAAACTGGCAGGAAGTTAAACGTAGAATTACTGAAAACAAACGAGCTTCAAATAAACAAGACAAAACCAATCACATTGCCGAACATCACCGACTGACAAAACACTGACTGCCGTGGGAAAATGATCATGTGCAAATAGATGACGACTACGAACTCTGTCATAATAGATTGAGATTATTGCATCAAAAACTGCTGAAGGATCTACAAAATCTTGAAGAATACAATAATGGTATTACTGAACAATTGGCAGCAGGAATAGTCGAAAGGGTTTCGGCATCTGATAAGGATCGTGGTAAAATTCACTATCTTCCCCATCTTTGTGTCATACGAAAGGATAAGGTTACTACGAAGCTACGCGTTGTATATGATGGATCGGCTACGACGAACTTGCGTAGCTTTTCACTAAACGATTGCTTACTGACTGGGCCAAACCTCATTCCTAAAATCTTTGATTTTCTCGTCAAAATTCGACAAAACAAGATTGGGCTACTTGATGACATTGAGTAAGCATTCTTAATGATTGGAATTGACAAGGAAGATATAGACATGCTTCGTTTTTTGTGACTAAGGGATGCTAGGGATACTCATTCGGAAGTATTAAAGCTAAGGTTTTGTCGATTGGTTTTCGGTCTACGAACTTCGCCAGCAATTTTAGGAGCTACTATCAACCATCATTTGAAGACACAAGAGAAGCAGGAGCCAGAAACTGTTGAACACTTGAAAAATTCTCTGTATGTCAATGATTTTGTGTCCGGTGCTGAAACGGATGAAACCACTTTGCAAATATACAAGGAAACAAAGCAGTTGATGTTCAAGCGTGGATTCAACTTGCGAAAATGGAACTCGAATTTCAGTAGCGTAGCGAAGTCTATCGAGGCGTTAGAAGGTAGCAAGAATTTGAGCTTGATTGGTTACAAGTCAAGTGTTACTCAAGATGATCAGTCCTTTACAAAATCGACAATTGCAAAATCGACAGTTCCGACTCCCTCTTCACGGAACCCACTCAAGTCAAGGTACTAGGAATGGTGTGGGATACGGTGGAGGACACATTTTTGTTCAATTTGACTAAGATAATTGAGTACGCCAATTTCTTACCTGTCCCAAAGCGACTGTTATTGAAATGGTCATCTAAAATCTTTGATCCCCTTGGATTCTTGTCTCTTTTACGATAAGGCTCAAATTCTGTTTCAAATCATGTGCTTGGATAGACTGGGATTGGACTGAACTTTATGGCAATCTACGTGAGCAGTGGAATATTTTATTGTCAGAGTTAAGGTTTCTAAATGATGTTCGTGTACCGAGGTGCTATTATCTAAACCAACCGAGTTACTTTACTACACAAGTTCATGGATTCAATGATGCATCTGAAAGTGCAATTGGTGATGTTGTCTATGTAAGAACAGTCTATGAGAATGGTACCATTGACGTGAAATTAATCGCTTCAAAGACAAAGGTCGCACCAGTGAAAAAGCAAACGATTCCCCGTTTAGAGCGAGCTTGTGGCAGTGACTGTATTAGCGAAGTTAGTAGAGTCTTTGTTAGAGGCACTCAAGTGGAGTCTGGAAGTTTTTTATTGGGTTGACTGGATGACAGCACTTCACAGGAAAGGAAACGATCGAGCAAGGAAACCATTCGTGCAGCATCGAGTGAACAAGATTCGAAGTATTTCGTTGACGGAATCTTAGAACTTTTGTCCTGGATCGCTTAATCCTGCAGATTTACCCTCACGAGGTATTTCTGGGCAGCTCAACAAGGTCTATTCAACAACTATCCTTTGAAAAAGAAATATTATTCCCTCTGTCAAAGAATTCGAATTCTTCAAACGTATTTATGTTAAGCAATTTGGGCTATTTCTCGACGGTGATCACTTGGTGCGGTGCCATAGAAGACTGAAGAATTCATCGCTGAATCTGGAGAGCAAAAATCCTGTATTGCTTCCAAAGGAATCAAGATTTGTCGAGTTATTAATATGCGAGGTTCACCACAATGTGAAGCACAGCGGGATTCGTGATACACTAACAACCACTGGAGAGCATTTTTGGATAATCCGTGGTCGAGAAGCAGTAAAGAAAATCGTCAGGAAATGTGTTTTTTTTTTGTAAAGATGAAGGTCTTCCTTATGGGGAAACGCCTCCTCCAGATATTCCTGTTAGCAGAGTGTCGGATGATCCCCCTTTCACAAACTTAGGTTTGGAGTTTGCAGGACCGTTGTTCGTACGAGAGAGTTGCGATGGGAATAATTTGTCGGATAATCCAACAAAGGTGTATATTCCATTGTTTACGTGTGCGTCTACTAGAGCCATTCATCTGGAGCTCACTATTTCCTGAAGCTTTCTCGGCGCGTTCCGAAGATACGCTAGTCGACGAACACTGCCAGCTCTTCTTATATCCGATAATGCTAAGACTTTCCGAGCTGCATGCTTAGAAATTTGCAAGTTATGTCGTTCTGAGGAAGTGTTACGCTATCTTGCAAACCATCAGATTACATGGCAATTTATCGTGGAAAATGCCCCTTGGTGGGGAGGCTTCTGGGAACGTTTGATTCGAAGCGTGAAACGTCCGTTGCGAAAAGTAGTTGGTGGAACCAATCTAACCTACGACGAGTTACATACTATTGTGGTTGAAATCGAAGGCGTAATAAATGCACGACCCATAACCTACGTGTACGACGATGAAGAAGCTGCATCTCTTCCTCTAAGCTCCTCGCACTTGGTGTATGGAAGACGAATAACGACCATGCCAAACAGTGAGCACTTTGAAATTCAGAGCACCTATCAACCTTTGACGAGAAAGGCGAAACATCACAAAAATTTGCTGCAACGTTTTACTCTTCAATGGAGAAACGAGTATCTTATTGCCTTACGAGAGCAATACACTTCAAAATCAAGAGGTAATCAAAATCCCGAAATAGCAGTTGGAGATATCGTAATTATTCGCAACGATAAAACAAAACGTATCTTTTGGAAGGTGGCGAAAGTTGAACAATTGTTACAAGGTGACGAAGGAATTACACGAGCTGCACAAGTCAGAGTCCTTCGTGGAGACTCTAGTCATTCACACTTGTTGCAACGTTCTATCAGGCAACTTATTACAATTGAGGTTCATCAGCAAGAAGACAGTAACGAAAGTGTAGAGAGCGATAAGAACAGCCAAGAAGAACAAGTGCTTCGTCCAACTGATCGACCACAGCGCAGCGCGGGAAGAAAAGGAAGTTCTAAATAACTGTACATTCTTAGCTAGAAATAGTTTTGTTTTTTTTTGTTTTGTTTGTTGACAACATTTTATTATGTTAACCCTGGGGAGTGCAAGAAAGATTGATAAAAAAGGATAGTTCTGTGCATGTGGAGATCAGACTAATAATTATAAATGCAAAATAGAAAGAAAAACATGTCAATCATACGTTAGTAAAAGATACATATAGAAAGCAAATACATCTTGTTCATTCCGTCCAAAGATTTGTGAGTATATTTCGAACGATCATAAAACAGACATCTTCATTTTTCTTGGTTTTCTCTGGTTAGTTTTTTCTTGGTTTTATCGTGGGTTTTGTGATTTTTATTTAGTTGCAGTACATTTACCATGGCAATTGCCTTTTAAGGCGACATATATTCACAACTTATACTAATGAAATCCGTGCGTATGTTTAGCCAACCTTTTATAGGCTGTCTGAAAACATTTTTGAGTGTATGTTATTCTCTTTGTATCTTAGATAATAGTGGAACATATAACTATTATGAGAGTTTGGTAGATATTAGAGTTTTTGTTTGTTTTGAATGGTATGTTCCCAGATTCTGGTGGATAAATGGCGCAAAGTTTCGCCAATGTATCGGGAATTACATCCCGCGCAACTGAATTCATATACCACCATTGATTTAATTGAATCAGGGATTGGGTGTTTGAATGATAAAAGGTTTTTGATTTAGAATGATGTGAGAATTAGTTGAATGTCAATATCTGTATAGAAGCGTTTCATAATGTTTGTAAGTCTGCGCTGTGTGTGTCGTGAGCCTACAACTTAATTGAATCCTATCTGTCAAAGCGAACTCAAAGATGCCAAGTCAAAACTTTTATTTCATCCCAACAACTCCTCTCCTGTGGAGTTCCCCAGGGCTCTATTCTAGATCCGTTATTTTTCTTAATATATATAAATGGCTTACCCTCATGCTTAGAGCAATGTAAACCAAAAGTATTTGCTGATGATACTAGCATAACTGCTTCAAATAATGATATAGTTGAACTAGAAACAACAGTAAACTTTGACTTACAAAATCTTGAAAAGTGGATGATAGCAAACAAACAGCTTCTGGATCCTCTCAAATGGAATATTGGCCCATTCGTATGTGCAGAATGTCTTCAGCCCAGCTAGAATCTTTGGGTTTCTAGCTTGAACTGCTGTCTTGAGGTCATTTCATACATTTTCAATAATAATTATGTCTGAAGGTTGCGGTGGGCACTCCTGCACTCTAAATCTTTGTCGTCTAAAGTATTCTTTAGTTGAATTTGAACAATGCTTGGGATCATTATCCTGTTGGAACATCCAGCATCTGCGTAGTTTAAGCTTGAATCCGTCAGGCTTTAATCCCTTCGGGCCTAAACTTTAGCTCTAAGCCTAAGGCCATTATGTATTTTTACTTTTCCATTGCTCATAGCCCTCGAAAAACGGCTAATTATGCTTATTGTACCATGTGCCACTCTTAAAAGAAATTTTCAAACTAGAGCAAACTTTCGTATTAAATACACATAAACGGCAAAACTTTTAAAGTTAGACGTGGCTTGTAGCACTAAAAATCAACCAGGAATGTATTGCTATCGCTTATTGAGGGGGGGGGCTTTTATTCATATATGCATGTTATAAATCTTTCGATAACAATACATATCAAAAGATGTTAATTCAGCATATCATGCATATATGAAAAAGAGCCCCCGATTAGTGATAGCAATTCATCCCTGAAATCCATGATTGGGGTTCGTAGCCAGGACTAGGATTGGCAGGACTGTTTCTCAATGAAGGAAAAGCCAGTTTGTAACAATTTCAAAAAATACAATAATATTGTTTTACAACAATTTTGAATTGTGCATAACATTTAGGCTAAGCGTGAGATATCCGGATAGCGTGATTTCCAAATAATTGTTTTGTTTGAAAGCTTTATTTCGAAAATATTCAATAAAATTTTAACATACCTTGTAATACAAATTGGAAAACCCCAATTACGCCAAGTGCAAGTAAATTTTCAGCTTATCGCGCATGCAATAACAATTGTACAAGATGCATATTTAAACTGCATCCCCTTTAAGTTTACAATTTTTTCCAACAGCAACATTGCAATATGTTAAGTTTACAAATGCCATGATTTTAATGGTTTGTATTTAGATAAAGAAACAACAGCGCTGACAACCATGCAAATTAGTTCTACGACAAAACCCACTACAAAAGAAAAAACTTTTAAATCAACCGTCAAACAAACTTTAACAGCCATACCATCAGTGCTTACGAAAGATAAATTTGGAACCCCACCCCTTCCTCCATCAGATATACCGATTGGCACAAATGTACCTCCTGCTCCTCCTCTCCCTGAAATCATAGCTCCCACTCCACCACCAGGAAATAAGAATGTTAGGTAAGATTTCTTTTACGTCATCACAGAAAATTATTTTTTGAGTTTAGGTTTTGATATGGAGTTTTGATTTGTTGGCAATTTTCAAATCAAAGGTCTCAATGAGATGACCCATGGATAGATCAAAATTAAATAGTAGACAAGAAAGTTGTTAATTTCGTAAATTTACAAACGCAAATGTAAAGCAGCGTATGTTAAGGAAAACTACTTGAGAAACAAATATAAGTGTTAATTTCGTCAATCGGTTGTAATAATTGACACATAACTCCTTACAGCCAGGGCTGAACCTAGAACAATAATTGCGAGGTGGGATTAAGCTCTGCCTGACTGATCCCTTTTGAAATTATAATCGCTAACAAGCAAAATCAATCGGGCAGAGCTAAATATATAAATATTCTTCACCCCCAACTAACGTTCTAGTTTCAGTCCTACTGACAACTAGAGGTGTACGTGTCACATGCAAGTGTTTCCAGCCTTCTCGGCGAACAACAGAACGGTTTGAATAACAAAATCAATAACTAAATTTTTTGACAGTTGACATGCAGGACTGCATGTGTTCACTTCAACTAGGGCAAATCGAATTAAATATCATGTGCAACGGAAGTTAGTAGTCGCTAGTTCATTAATACGTATATAAATATGGTAGTGAACAGCATCTTTTTAGATAGGCAAGTTTACTCAATAAAGACACTTCTTCTTTTACGAACCTACTTATTACATGGTGTCAAACGTGGGATGACTGACTCAGGATTTCAAAAGCCAGGACCAGAGCCCTCTGTTTGTAAGAGCTGGGACACCAGAAGTAAAATTGCCAAGCGTCCGCCATTTTTGTTCAATAAGCCAGCAAATACAATATAGCTTTATAAGGAAAGAAGACAAATTTTGGGGGTTTATTGCTTGTTTAGGGACAAACATAGATTGCTACATTCGGAATTTGGTTGTTTATACTATTATGAATAATTACATGATGCACAGCATTTCATTTAATGGATCACCGTCGAGTACGCAGAGAGATAAATCACATCGTCACTGCCTCATGTGCATATGGTCATGTGCGAGCTTTGCTATTGTAAATATTGCAATTAATCTAATCAACATTCCCCTTGTCTTATGTCAACTTATACGTAACCCGGACGCCTGGGTGCACTTGGCGAATTTTGGTTCACTTGGCAGCATTATTTTAATTTGTAAACAATGTAATAATTGAGCAGTTGATGAAACCAGGAGATGTAGATCCCAAGTTATACCAAAAACTGGTTTAGTTATAAAACCTAGATGTTGCCGATGTTTCTTCACTCATGATTTTCTCTTGGATCAAACATTGGATTGCTGATCATGTTTTAATGACAATAGATTCTTGGCTAAACTTTATTTTATTTTGTTAAAATCCACACTGGATTTCCATTACTTAACAGTCCAAGTGTTGTTTTACTGTCAGGTCACGAATTGCATCATTATCTAACAGCTCTTCGTACATTGCACATTAAAACAACATACGTGTGTACGTTGTCATTACAAACCGCATAATTTGTCGGGCAACTAACTTATTCTCCAGTTATTACGAATTTTAGCCCCCCTTTTTTATTAGCTAAATTGAAAGACCTTGTTTCAGTGATTTTAAATCTGCAATTATAATTGATATTGGATTGGTGAAAGTGATTTTACGGACGTTCAAAGTCACGATTTTCAGCATTTTTTTGCGAACTTTTTGATCGGTATGCTAATGACTTGTGACGTAGAAAGTTGAACACATATATCAACATGGCGCATTCTACTAGTAATCTTAATAAGAAACGCGGAGGAAAACGCTGTGTTGCTGGCGGACCTAATCAAATTAGTTGCGCCAATGACTCAAAAACCGAAGGAATGTCAATGCATCTGTTTCCTAAAAAAGAAACAGAGCCGCAAAGACATAGAAAATGGGTAAATTTTGTGCGTAAACATAGACCGGGTTTTGAGGCTTCCTCTACCTCGTGTCTGTGTTCTGCGCATTTTGAAGATTCTTGTTTTGACCTTATTTTGAGCGTGCAAGTCAAGCTCAAAAGAAGGTTGAAGAAAGATGCTATCCCAACCATTGACGTGGCTGGGATTCCTGAACCATTACAGGACGAAATAACCGATCGAAAGCGAAGACAAGTAAGTTTACGCTTGTTTATGTTAATTTTTCTTTTGTCATATGTAAATTCGATATAAGTTTTGTAGATTATTCGACATACTCTCCATAAGCCATCGCTGAAGGAAACATGTTCTCTCGATGAGGAAGTACCATCTACTAGTGATCTACATGAGTAGTTGCACCAATTTGTTTTTATTGTTTACTCTTGTTTCAAACCATTAAACTGCATGTCAACTTATATAGTGCATCCATGTATCTCCTGTTTGATTTTTATCTAGGCATATTTCCTGACCATTCTAAACTCAGCAAAGAAGGTCAACAGTCTCTATAGTGCACAAGTTAAAAGACCTTTCCATCATCGCCCCTCTGATGGTATGTAACCTTTTGTGCTACCACTTGGATATGCTTTCCGAATAAAGTGGTAAACACAAGCAGGTAAAGGCCGAGTATTCTCCCATCCCATAGACCCACAAAACCATCACATCAACCATCTGTATGCCACAGCTCTCAAGTACCTGAAGTAAATAAAAAGATTGGACTAATTATTGTTGATGAAACAATGTTGATGATAACATTGTTTCTCATACAATTTACAATCTTACATATTTCATGATTGTGATGCTTGGCGGCGATAAGCACGTCCATTCCTATCTCTCAATAGTGGCCCAACGTTTTCAAGGACAGCCTCATGAACTAAAGGCCCAAATTTGGCATGCTGTGTTGTGCATGATATTTTCTCAATGCTGCCATTGAATGTCATTTTCTGCAAAGCTGGTCCTATTTCCTTACAGCATCTGTACTCTAATGCGTCTTCTAACAAATCGGTATGAGAGCATTGACAATTACACCTGAAACGTGGGAGCATTGTGGTTTATAAAGTAACTTTATGTATATTACAAACAGGAGAAAACAACAACTTACCATTCACCGAGTGGAATTACGCCATCACTTCGTTGTTCTAATGTCGCAGGGAGAATTCCATCGGGATCATCTGGAGTATGCACTTCATCACCATCTCCTGCGAGCGCTTCATCGTTATATGCGAAGTCGTTTAAATGCTCGACATAACCCACGGATTCCGAGGTCGAATCAGATACGCATTCAGACATCGAATTCGAATTATCTGAGCACTGATTTGAGGCCATACTTTCCGGAAAACTTCTTTTTTAATATTTTATTGAAAATACTGTCATTATTTGTTTTTAAGACAAGAAAAACGACTACAAAATCACCTCCTATAATATAATATTATATTGACAGAAACAGACGTGTTTAACTATCTACGTCACAAGTATCAAAATGGCATCGTAAAAAATTCGCCAATAGTACCCGACTTTGGAGGCAAAATTAAGGAACTTATATTTATCTGTGTAAGTCCAGCTACATGTCATAGTTCTTCAAATAATCCAAATTTTCAATTAAGCTCATAAAAAAGCGGGGCTAAAATTCGTAATATAAGCACTTTAAAAATTCTTCAATAAGAGTGGAACATCTGGCGTGAATTAGAGTTCAACAACAGGATGAGGGCATGAACTGTATAATAGGAACTGTTAACATTTTTTTAAAGTTTGCAAGATACACCAAACTCTTATAAAACTTATTGAGTACCACCTCCCATATCCCTTGTGATATTTTTAATTTTCATATTGTTCATATCCTTGTTTTATGTTGATTTCCTTGATCTTACTTAATATCACCTGCTTTCATAAGCTAACACCTGCTCTCATTTGACACAATAGAAATCGTCTCATTGTACTAAAATATGAAGTTCTATGTGTGCAAATTGCAGTTAAGAATTATATATGAATATATATAGTGTCCCTTTAGGATCACCCGTAGTCTTTACATGTATGTAATGACTTATTCAGTAGAAATAAAATTGAAAGAAGTAATCAATCATTGTATTAAACAAAATTCATTTTTATTTTCAAATGTAACAATACAACAAAATTTATATGGCATGCCTGAAAAGCTGAGTTTAATATTTATCGGAAATATATTAAAAATCAAAAGTCCATGCCGAATGCTTTGACATACGCTACTGGAATCAATCTGGTAGAGTGAGTGGGATTGAAATCTTTCCTCTTAATTGCACAGAGCCACTTCTGACGCTTTTCAGTACTGTGTTTGTCACCAGGGACCGCGTACGTTTCATACCCTTCGTTGCTTTGATTGGTAAAATAAACACACAACATAAAACCGAATTTTTGTACATGCAGACCATAGTTTTCTATTGCGCTCTTGGAACAAAAAGGGAAGCAAGAGATCCACGTGACCATATTTACCCAATCATCATGCAGAAAGCAGAGAAGAATACGTGTCCCAACTCTCTCAATACAGGGCTCTGGCCAGGAACCCAGTCCTTCGATGGAAAGGTTACAACTGGAGAAGATTAGCTCAAGAATACGACATATTTTAGCGGCAGCACACAGTCGCAAATCAAAGAAATGGCATGCATATATTCTTTTAAATCTCGCCGGAAGTGAAGCAATTGAAAAAGAAAGGTCGTTCTCATATGGTGACGAAGGCAAGAATAGAGAAGATCCCGAATGTGGCAAAGCCAAATTCGCTGAGATATGCATTCCCCGCACAAATATCACAATGGGAAGACACAAATTTAATACAACAGTTTAAGATTAACAGTCCTTTCAAGAATTCGCGCCATAATTGGAAATTAAAGCAAACACGTGCTAATTTGGTTGTTTAAAAGAGAAAATAATCCGTGAACGATTAGTTTGTAAAATAACAAATAACGTCTTTTCCAAATTGCTTTTACATGAAGGAAAATTAGCATTGGTAAAAGCTATTCAAATTTGCGAAGTAAATGAACTAGCAGATCAAAACAAAAATCAAACGATATTACAAAAGAAAGAGGCTGGCAAATCGA